CAAAACGCAGGCAATGGAAACATTCTCGAAAAATCAAGCGCAACTTTTAAAAAGATGTGATTACGACCGACGACCGGCAAAATCGACATTTTGCCTGCTTACAGAAGGGACTTTCCACTAGAAAATGTATCAATAATTGACTTCTTCAGCCCACCATGGTCAAACTTGATTACTTTTTGCCTAAGCATCCTTTATTCTCTGCGTAATCTTTGGCGTGTAGAACAGGAAATTGGAACGATCAGCAAGGCTGTTCTGGTTATTGTATTATCTCCCGATAGAGATTAACGCCATTAACCCATCCAGCTCCATATAATCAACTAAGTCCATTAGGTACTTAACGTTTAACGTCAATTTCCCTTGATAACTAAATAACCACCCATAAAGACGTACATTGTTCGTTAGATGGTATTAAATGTCTCGCTCATACATTGATTAATGGTCTTTTGGATCGTATTTTAACAACTTGTTTAGATCATAAGCTCATTTGTGCTCCTATTTTAATCGCAATGCTACTCTTTCTTTCCAAACAAGCCGAATCCAATAATCCTTTCTATTCATTAGGTTAACGAGCTGATAGACCAGTATGGTTTGGATGTGGTGCAAGCTTACATGAACCATATCCAGGCCAATGCTGAAGTTGCTGTGCGCGACATGTTGCGGCAAGTAGCTAGAGATGCAGTTGCTAGAACAGGCAGCGCCAGTCTGCACTTTTTGGACCATATGGACGATGGTTCGCCTATCAGTGTTACAGTGTCTTTGGATGAGAAAGAAGGATCGGCCTTTTGTGATTTCAAGTAAGAGTATTTGAACAGATTCATGGAGGGCGATGAAACAGTATCGGAAATATCAGTATTCAGCAAGGAAAAGTGTTGGTTTAGATTTTTTTGCGTATGCATTGGCCCAAATTGGGTCAAATCTTCAAATTTATCAGTAAAAGACGCCTATTTATGGGCCCATGAAAAAATTGTGTTTTATTTTTGCCACCATCTGTTGACCGAAAAAACCACAAACCTAAATAGGCGTCTTTTACTCATCATCATCACGGTCCCTAATTAACCACAACGTTCAAACTTATGTGTAGTTAGTATTTCCAGTTTCCGATTTCTCATTCTCAAATGAATCACTCAGCAGACTTAAACAATTTTTGGGTCGCCTTTTAATTGGCAGGTTTTAAAATCGCAAATCTCGCCCTCCCCAAGTGGCTGCTGTTCAGAACATTAAAAATTGTGTTGTGTTAATTTGCAGCGGCTCCGGACCCGAAGTATGGGGTAATTGCAACGCCCCCCGGGCAGTCACACTTTCAGCACTAATTTACTGTTTGCGGTGCATGGTGGGCCACGATGTTCCCTTGAACCAGGTAAGTGCTTGGAGTTTATCGTTTTTTCCGCAAAGGGAAAGTTTTCGTTTGCAAGTCTCAAATTCTGTTCCAGATCCTTTAGGTCTTCAGATTGGAGAAGTTAGGAGAGGAACAGAAAAGTCTTCTCAACTAGGCCTGAGTAACGCGTTGAGTTGCGCATTTGAGTTTTTTCCGCTCTCTGAGTTACTGTTTTAACTCATTGGTTAATCGTTATAACTCAAAAAAAGCCATCAACATGTTCTAATTTCTATTCTATTCTTTTTGGTCTAAAACGGGAAAATCCGCAAATTTTGAAAAAAATGAGAGCGATGAGGGTGACGAGTTATCCAACTATTGATTATATGTTTCTGCTTTCTCTGGTCGTTTTTGAGGAAACCCAAATTTTGTCTAAAAAAAACACGCTTCTTTGTTTCGATTTTGTCCCAAATTCAAAAGTAAAACGACCAAACTGAAAAGACGACCACTTTTCTTGAAAACCCATCTTTTGACTTTTTTCCATAAAATCCCTGAAGATTGTCAGTATTTTAAGTAAAACTAAAAATAATTCGTTTTTTGTGAAGCAAAAATTGCTTAACAGAAACTTTGCCAAAACTGGAATGACCTGAAATTTTAAAGAGACTCGAAAAATCTTCAGAGCGGGGAGGGTGGTGATTGTCCAAATAATTTTGGGAAACTTTTGCTCTCTGGCCGGTTTTTTTCAAGCTAATCTTAATTGCTTTCGGTGAAAAACTGAATAAAATGATTTGGTTTTTGTGCCAAATTCGAGGCTAAAATGGGTTTTCTAAAGTCCCTGCAAACCGATGAATGAGGCGAATTTTCTAGCAAAATTAATTTTGTAATTTTTGGCTGAAAAGGCCCCATTATTGTCAGAAAAGAAGAAAATCATCAGAAAATAAGGTTTTTTTTGCGCTTTTGCTTAAATACTTTTAGTTTTTTGATAGGTTTTTGAGAAAATCTTAATGATTTTCAAGGAAAAAGGGAGAAATTTATTTCCCGAATTCGACGCTGAAAAAGTGTTTGTGACGCTGGAAAAATGTCTACAAAGCTATAGATTTATCGTGTAATTTTTCGAGTAAAACACCTCCAGATCGTCAGTATTTTTACGTGAACCTTTTGAAATTTCAGCATTTAGAAAAAAAGAGCGACTCTGCCAAAACTGGAAAAATATGGGGAAAAGTCCAGGAAATTGTTCAATTTTCGATTGGGAAAGCGACTGTGACGCAACTATTGCATTTAATATTTCTTCTAGGGATGTTTGACTCCAGTCAAAGTGCAAATTCCCAAGGGATCCATTCTGGATCCGAGCGACGATGCTGCAGTGGTTGGGGGCAATGTGTTAACTTCACAACGCATTGTAGATGTTGTGCTGGGAGCCTTCCGGGTCTGTTCAGCTTCACAAGGCTGCATGAACAACATTACGTTCGGAAACCAGTTTTGGGGCTGCTATGAAACCGTAGCTGGTGGAAGTGGAGCTGTAAGTATCGATTTATAAATCTCTGATCTCTAAATACTTCGCTATAAGATACGTATGGAAACTGTTTCTCCAGAAGATTGTTGGCAAGGCCAATTTAAATAACCTTTAAATGCTAATTGTTTGTTACCCACAGCAATTAAACAATATTGCTGATTGTACTAAACAAATACCGTCTATTAGCAGTCCCGTATTTAATGAAAACGTGGGAATCACACACCGATCAGTGTTTGCATTCGAATTTTACAGACGGCGGTTTGCAATTTTCCGTATGCGGGTAGATTTAATTAGTTTAATTTGCTATATTTTATGCATTGGTTCGTGCGGTTGTGGGTATTGGTTCAGGTCAGTGACTTTGGCGAAAGAAACCATCGCTTGCAGGTCGAATCGAATCGAAACTCTTTTTCACTCCGTTTGTAGAAAAAATACAGTCTTCTGTTATCTATGAAATTAGAAAAATGATGGTCGTCTTGTGCAAGGGTGGCGCAAGATTATTGCAAAATTTAATGTTTTCCGTCCTGTTTTGCATGTTTCTCGGAAACAAAATGAGCAAGAACGCTCGATTTACATCTAACTAAATGGCCTTTATTCGAAGTTTCTCAAGAACCATTCGAGCCACAGAATTCGTTTTGGTATCGTTGGATAGAGAACTGAAAAGTCGATTCAGTCGTAACAACGTCAGTGAGGAAATTCGAGTAGGTTTGACCCAGAAAGCGAAATTTGAATATCAAACACTTAGGTGCAAGATTATGCCAAAATTCCATGTTTTCCGTCCCATTTTTGCTCATTTCTGGG